GCACCATTTGTTAAAAAGACTGTCTTTTCCCCATTTGATGGACTTTGGGACTTTGTCGAAGATCAGGTGACCACAGGTGGATGGATTTCCATCTGGGTTCTCAATTCTGTTCCATTGATCAATGTGTCTGTCGTTGGACTGGTACCAAGCTGTTCTGACTACTGTAGCTATATACACTTGGGACATCTTTAACCTCCGCCTCATAAGAACCAGTTTTGTGCTGGTTCTTATAGAAGAAATTATTCAATGTTTTATCTATTCATTTTTTGTCACAGACCTATGGAAGGAGGACTTACAGTGGATTGGAAGTTGGAATAGATGGCCCAAAGATAAAACTCAAATAATTTTTTGATTTTTGCAGTAGACAGAACATTGGTTGCAGTCAGAAGACGTGGGAGCTGGTCTAACCATCACTCAGGTTTGGGCAGTCCATATTAGCTTTTGTTTTAGCCTTTGTTTTGTTTGAATATAGAATGAAGGTGAATACCTTTAACCTTTCTAATTTACAAAGATACTGCAAAGACAAATGAAACAATGGAGCAACTGGCAGAAAAATATCTTGTGTCATTGTTTTTAAAAACAATAGTTATGATGTTATTCATGTACCATACCCAGAGGCTTACCAACGTTGTCATAATGCCAGGGCTCTACATCCCAACCATATTCCGGCCCTCAAATTTCCCTGGAGCAGGTCACCCTCTGACCTTTCAAGGCTGAATCACAGGCATTTTTCCATTTATTTTTTAATGCCTGTGGTACAGCTCAGGCTCTCAGCATTATATATTATGTTGTATTAACAATATATTATATACATATTATATATATGGTTGACTATTAAAAGGATAGGTACCTAATCAATGCTAAACGATCCCAGTTGGGCTCTTTGCTCCTGTGTGTTCTGGGGTGTGTGTGTGTGTGTGTGTGTGTGTGTGTGTGTGTGTACAAGTGCCAGGGGAGTAGGCTTTTCCTAAACACGAGGATAGGAAATGGGAGAAGACATTATCCCCAGAGTGGCAAAGCCCTTTCAGAGCATCCTTCGTCATGGAAGAACTAGGCTCTGGGGTGTGGCTTGCTCGGGAAGGGAGCAGAGGGAAATGTGGACTGCCTTTTGGATCAAGGGAGAGCTGGATTTGAAACCTGACTTAGTAACTCTCTATTGGGGTGACCTTGGGCAGTCATTTAACTCTTGAGTTTGCTTCCTCTTCTGTAGAATGGGGGACACTTATCCTGAAGGGTAATTTTGAAGATTAAATGTAATATTTGCAAAGTACAGGGCATGCAGTAGGTGCTTAACAGATAGATAATAAAAGGAAAGGAAGGGATAGGAAAGGTGAAAGACACTCATATTTACTGAACTCTTATTCTATAAGGCGGGGCATTCAAAATAGATAAAAAGAGCATGGCCTGGGCTCCAACCAGATACTGGCTACTGGGCTGGAGGTCCCCTGCTGTGCCAGACACAGACCCCTCAGTTACCTGATATGGGATGTGATGGTGTATGTGTGCATGTGTGTCCAGGGGGAGGGCCTGGGTCAGTTAGGCTGGCAGAAGGACTCTGGGGGCTCAGGGTAGCAGCTCTTTACCATCCCATAGGGAAATATTGTATTTCTGTATTTTCACAACAGTAGAGCCAAGTGGAATATGCCACTTAGGGTAGGTCCAGAACCTCTTCCCTCTTTCCACGCAATGTTTGTATTATTAATGATGCCCATGTCTGGTGCGGAGGGAAATCAAGTCAGGTGCAGGAATAGGAAATGTCTGCCAGGGAGCTGCCATTCTAATGGGGCCTTTGCCCAGAATAAGGATTTATACCATGGCCTATTTGTCTATCAGGTGAGCAGGGAGAGAATAAAAAGTTATTTTTTAAAAAAGTATTAAGAAACTAATAGCCATGCAAACACATGGGCAGGTGGGTCCTGTTGCATTCTTTTTGCCTGCTCTGACAAGATGGGTCCCTGATGTTGGCAGAGGTGAGAGGACACTTCTCGTGGCCCTCCTATGGTGTGGGGGATTATGGTGTGTGTGCTCCCACATGGTGGAGGGTCCCCCACGTAATATCGGCTCAGGGTCCAGGATTTCAGCTTCTGCCCACCTTGCAGGAAACACCAAGGAGAGAGGGCCGTGTTGGACCCGAAGCTGCCCCATCCCAGTTAATCCCATGACGTGTCTCTTCTCTAAACACCAGGTGAGGATTCTAAGACCCTTTCTTTTCTTCTCCCATTTTGGGGTTTGTTGGTCTGATTGGTTCTAGAAGCCACCTCCATGATCCTACTACTTTGAATTTATTTATTTGCATGCCATTTTACAAATGACATTATCAAGAGTCATAATATGCTATAAGAGTGCTGGGCAGAGAGTGGAGGAGTTTGGGTCCCAGGCCAGCTGAGGAATCCCTGATAAGTCACTCTCTTCACACACACACCAATCTCAGATATCCTCTGTAATGCACAACTGTCTTGCTTCATAACTCAGTGCCTGAAAACCTTCGGAGTGGGGAGCAGTGTGGATAGAAGGCTGGATCTAGCAAGAGGAGTCCCAGGCTCAAGACCCAGCTCTGCCACTAACTGGCTGTGTGACCTTGGAAAGACCTAAAACCTCTCCGGGCAACAGGCTTTGAGTTTCAACAAAATCCCTAGGCTGCCCTTCTTGCTTCTGTTTCCAGATTAGGCGCCACCATTTCTCCATGGCAGTCAAAAAGGGATGAAGCCAGTGGCCTCAAGATGGCCAGCAGGGCTGGGGCTGGGGCGGGGCGGGGTCGGCCTATTAATAGGGCCTCGGGCACCTCCCAGCTCCCTCCCCTGCAGTGAACTAGCTGATTTGCCTCCCCCTGAGCTTCCGCCTCTCTCAGGCCTCAACCCCCCATAGGAAGGGCGGGCAGACTGGGTACTTACAAAGAGGCCGCGCCGAGGGTAGGGGGCACTGGAGGAGGTACGCTAGGCAGGGGAATTGCCAAGCCAGCCTCAGGGGCAGCTGCGGGCAGGGGTCCTGCGGCGAAGTACAGCCCAGAAGATCCTGGCTCAAAGAAGAGTAACTGAGAAGAAAACAAATCTGGGCTCCACCTCCGCCGTCACTAAACCTTCCACCCTCTCCGGGGACAGGGTCGGCCCAGATGTGCTGGGAGGAGCAGGAACGACTCTCCAGGTCTTTGGCCCCAAGTGAACCAAGAGCTTAAAGTAGAGAAAAAAGTACCGCTTACTTAATGCCACGCTGCCTCCTCCCCGGATCCTCCGCCCAAGGTAAAGCCTTCAGACAACCTCTGCACGTCGACCCCACCATCAAGTGTACCCATCCACTCTGGACTGTCAGGCGCGGATACAGCCCCGGTTACCCTCAGTCCGCCTGGGGTGGGAGCGCAGCTCTCTGTGTAGCCTCCTCCGCTGCCGAGGAGGGGCTGCAGCCGGCCGGGTCGGAGCAGACGGCTGGGAGCACCCCGGCGGGCGCGAGGAGCGAGCCAGCTTTTGGCAGCCGTAGGGGTGCGGGTCCCACCGGGAGCCACAGCTGCTCCCCTGGGCTCAGCCCGCAGAGATGGGCTCCGTCTCCTCGGCGCTGGCGCGGTCCCGCAACGCTGTGGTGCAATTGGGCTCGTCGCCACCGCAGCCAGAGGCGCCTCGGGCTCCTGCTGCTTGCCGAGACTCACGCGTGCTCCCCAAGACCCGGAAGCCGGAATCCGAGCGAGGAGAGACGCCCGCTCAGCACGCAGCCTGGGAGGTGCAGCCGGCAGCGGGGAGCGGGGAAGGGCTCCCGAAGTTGGAGAGTCCGGAGCTGTCCCCGGTGCTGAACCGCAGGGAGCGCGTGTCCCAGCCCTACTTGTCCCGAAGCCCCAGCGCCGCGGGTGAGTCTACTTAACTCGCGTAAGGATCCCGGGGAGCTGCTGCCAGGAGACCTTTGGCGGGCTTATTATCTTCTCCGAGAGAAGAAAAAGCTCTGTCTCCCAACAAGATTTTGCTTTTCTTGTCGTCTTGCCCATAACTTTTTTCTTTCTTTCTTTTTTTTTTTTTTCCACAAATTAAGGCTCATTTTTAGTTCAGTAGGGGCTTATTTCAGAAGGACCATCTTTCGTAGGGATTTAAACAGTAACTGGCAAGGCAGTTTGCATCCTAAGGATTTCTTTCTCCCAGCTTTGTGCTGGCGTCAGCACCGTGGGGAAAAGTCTTCCTTGTTTGCTGTCTTAGAAAACAAGGATAAAGGAAGCACTCCTTTCCTTCTCCTCCCAGGGGAACTGGGAGAGCGTAGAAGATTCCTACTTGTCCAAGAGTTGGTTCTACGTGTGAAGAAAGGAACCAGCGTTTGGACTAGTTTCTTCGGAAGGGACTTGAGGGGGGATTGAGAGAAGACTTTTTAGGGTAAGAAGTCTGGGAGAAGTGATAAGAGACGCAGGATGTGGAGTCAGATGTGGATTTGAGTCTTTACCTGCTGCTTTCCCTGTGATCTTGGGCAAGATACTCAATTTTTTCATCTATTACTTAGGGATGATACTACTACTTACTTCACTAGGTAGATGGAAAATCTTATCAGGCACATTGCGTGTAGAAGTATTTTGCAAACTGTAAAATACTATACAAATACTCAATATTATACCTGACGAGATCTTTTGAACCTAAAGCTGAGGGAATAGTGAAAGTTTCTTACTTTTAATGTTTTAATCTGAGACATTTAAAGGTTCTTTTTCATCAGGACAGGTCCTGTTCTGTGTAAGTGGGAGGAAAACTCCTGACTTGGTACATGTAATTTAACGAAAATCTCTCACACTAGAAAGGTTACTAAAACCGTCAGCTGGCCTTCTGGTCTCGTACATGAATCCTCACCTGTCCCAGGCAAGGTTGTGGTGCTCATTGTGATAGTGTGTTGAGTTTTCTAGAAGGATTCAGTAGATTCAGTGGATAATGTTGGTTCCCCTAAAGAGAGAGGAATGAGGTTAGTGAGGAGGGAAATTGGCTTACACTTTGACTCAATGAGAGATAAGACTACATGTATTGTTAGTCCCTTGAAATTTTTCTTTTAAAAATTTTATGAGTTTTATCCATTAGCTTTTATTTGCTTTTATTTTGTTCAAACAGCCTTTTTTTTTTTTTTTTTTGAGAAGATAAATACACATTTTCCTTGCAAGGGAATTTATCATTGTAAAATGTACTAGTTCCTTCTATCCATAGGACATCTCTTTGTGGTATTAATGGAAAGAGAATCAGATTTGGAGTCAGGATGCTTGGGTTCTGTTAAGCTCTGCATCCTTGGAAAGGATACTTACATTTTCTAAGCCTGTCCTATCTGCTCTTTTTAGTGAGTACAAATATAGTTGAACCATCTCCTATGCCATAAAGCTCAAAGGACAAGTTGGAAGAGAAACTGGTTTGTACTATTAGTACTGTACTAGTGTAAGGCATTATTAAAGTATCTGGAGGCTTATTATTTTCTAATGTGTAGGAGGTGTATTTAAGCTTTTATGCAAATTTATCACGCTCTTCCATAGTTTTATAGGATAAAACATGGGCTTCCTTTGTAAAACTCTTCCATTTTAATTTGTGTGTTTGTGTGTATTATCAGTTAAATTACAAACATATGTATCCATAGAATGATATTGCCATGTTTTTTGTTCTTATGCTTTTGGTGGTGTGGGCAGAAGATTCCGATCTTGCAATTAATTCACACATTTATAATGCCCGAAAACGTATTTTGAGGAATCTGCTTAGAATTAATTTCTGTTCTGGAGTTAGTGAGTATACGTATACCTTGGAAATAGTTTGAACTTTTAGATTGAACAAGAATTAATTTTTTTCATTCCTTCCATTTAATTTCATTATATCCAGAGTTTTATACCCCTTAGGATAGGTACTTATACAAAGTTATTAGATTTCTATATTTTGCTCTTTTTTAAAAAAGCATAGTAGTTGAGCTTAAATCTTTGAAGTGTGGTAGGTTTTGATAGCTGGGATTACAGATGAGGCTCAGTTTTACCGTATGTAAAAATGAGTTGAGTTGCCCCAGCAGTGAAGCTGGCTAGACTGGATTGGATTTCTCCGGATAATGAGTAGAATGGCACAGAACTTGTGAATACCAGGAGCCAATTAGTGTGCTGCAATCTAAAATTTATATCTTATAAAGCAGACTGAATATGTGTATGCTGTGTGGCAGATGGTACTTTAGGACATGGAAGGATGGGTACTTTTTAAAGTTATCATTTTACAGGTGAGGGCATTAAGGCACAGAGAGGTTAGGTAATTGGTTAGTATATGCTAACAGCTAGTATATGACAGAGCCAGAATTTAAACCCAGGTAATCTGGCTCTAGAACTTTGTTCTTATCCATTTCTCTATGCTGCTTGTCTTAAATGCTGTGTTTATTTCCCGTTTGTTAGTCCTTCAGTTTATTATTTGGTGAAATCCTTTGGAAGTTTTATCTTGTCCCAGCTATGGCGAGGGGAACCTAGGGAAAGTGCTTTGGTCTTGGGAAGTGGGTGTTAGAGTATTAAGAGGGAAACAGTCACCTTGGGTACCACTGTGGTGGTAACTGAAGCCAGAGAACTTTAAGGTGAAAATAAAACTCAGGGTGCAGAGTCAGGGCAGGCAGGCCAGCTGCCTCTCCTTATCTGATTTTAAATGTGGTGAGCCTCTGAGATGGGTTTTATAAAGGATGCTGATGGTCCCCTACTCCTCTCACATCATGTTGTTGTGAAGATTCAGAGAGATACAGTGTTAAAGCCCAAGTGGATACCCGCATACATTAAACATGGGTGTTTTGTGTGCTTGTTTATTTTCAGAGCTTTGGGACCCACTCACCGTTGGAAAGGATGGAACAGGTTAATTCATTTTCAGTGACAGTCACCTCAGAATAAAAAAGAAATAAAACAAACAAAAAACTTGCTATCTTAGTTATCTACTGCTGCTATAACAGAAATACCACAATTGGATGGCTTTAACAGAGAGAAATTTATTCTCTTCCTGTCTAGGAGGCTGGAAGTCCAAATTCAGTGAGCCAGCTCTAGGGAAAGGCTTTCTCTGTCTTTCAGTTCTGGGGGAAGAGCCTTGTCATCAACCTTCCCCTGGTCTAAGAGCTTCTTAGCACAGGGACCCCAGGTCCAAAGGATGTGCTCTGCTCCTGGAGCTGTTTTCTTGGTGGCATGAGGTTCCCCTTGTCTCTCTGCTCGCTTGTCTCTTTTGTATCTCAAAAGGGGATGACTCAAGAAACAACCTAATCTTGTAGCTTGAGTCCTCCTTCATTAACATAACTGCCTGTAATCTTGCCTCATTAACATTATAGAGGTAGGATTTAAAACACATAGGAAAATCACATCCGATGACAAAATGGTGGACAATCACACAGTATTGGGAATCATGGCCTAGCCAAGTTGACACACATTTTTAGGGGACACAATTCAATTCATGACACCTACCATAGCTATCTGTCTATTGTTAATCATCCGCAGTGGATTATCTGAAGCTTCTAGCTTTTGTTATAAATTTCTCTGGGTGGGGAGACACTTTGATATTATTAATTAAAGTAATTTTTAGTCTATAATCTGTGTATTAACATTATCAGGGCACTTTAAATTTTCAGTTACTGTTCCTTTCTCTTTTTTTGTCCTGCTGTCTTAACATTTAGAAAAAGTAAGTCCCGCAAAGGGCTACTTTTAAAGTGCAACCATGATTTTTCGAATGACTGTCTTGGAGTATTGTCTCACACATTTTCATTGTCCACTTCTTGGTTTTCCATCTGAATCCTCTATGACTACTGACCAAGTTAGCCCCATTTGCCTCTAGCTGGGTCCTCTCAGATGTTGCAGTGAGTGGTTCTCAAGCTTTAGTGTGTATGAGAATCACCTGGAGAGCTAATAAAGCAACTAGAGGCCCAGGCCTGATGGTGTAGGATCAGGCTTGGGCCTTAGTACCTTAACCAAGTTTCCCAGGTGATTCTGCTACCGCCCGAAGCGCATCAGAATCACCTGGAGTCTTGCTAAACACAGGTTCCTGGGCCCCACTTCCAGGGTTTCTGATTAGTAAGTCTGGTTGGCAGGTTCGAACCCACTAGCGGCTCTGCAGGAGAAACGATTTGGCGATCTGCTCCTGTAACGATTACAGCCTAGGGAGCTCTATGGGGCAGTTCTACTCTGTCCTATAGGGTTGCTATGAGTCGTAATTGACTCGAAGGCACACAACAACAACAGGTGTGGTGTGGGGCCTGAGAAATTGCATTTCTAAGTTTCCAGATGCTGCTGATGTTTTTGGTCAGAGGAACATACTTTGAAAACCACAATGAATAGAAATCACCTAGAAGGGCACTATTCTCAGGTCTAGTGTGTTCCTGATTTCTTGATTTGGGATTTTTGACAGAGGCTGTTGAGGAGGAAGATTCTGCATTTAAGGCAGCTCTCATTCACCGGATGTCCCTCCTTCACTCCCCCCACCCCAGCCCTTTAGCAACCACTCTTTTTGTCAGTTTCTAAAAATGTCAGGATAATTACGATTCTTTGCCAGGGATGCTTTTCATCTGGGATTAAGGTTTTTTTTTTTTTTTTGTAACTTTTAGCTGAATGAAAAGGACTGATGAATGTAAAAATAAAACCAAACTCTATTCATTTTTAAGATCAGTGGGTGGATGGGTGAAGTGGTGATGTCACTAGTGCCTTAATCTTCAATATTCATAACATCTCCTAATATGTGTCCCTGTTCTGAGTTAATTTAAACAGACACAAGCAGCCTTCTAAAAGCTCATGAGAATGACAGGCAATACTGATGAGAACAGACGTGTGATGGGCAAGTGATGGGTCCCTGTGGATGTGGCACTACCTCCAGGAACTGCCCTCCATGACATAATTCTTTACCATACAGAGGCAAGTCC